TCTGAAATCTGTTAAAACACTCTCTAGGAAGTTATAATTTAAAATTCTCTTTTTTCCACCAGAAATCAAACTTAAGAATTAAGTCACATTTAAAGGGGTTGAAAGCAGATTTTACCTGCTCCTCACTTAGCCTATAACATGCTTCATCTGTCTTCTCTTTAAGCTGCCTCCCTCACTTCAAACTGGCCCCTGGAGAACAGTGCACTGCTCTACCTGTAATTTTTCAGGTCTTGTGTATGGAAAGTGGACAATGATTTTCACGGCTGTGGCTGTGAATCACATGCTGTAGAGATCACCCAATCAGAGGGCTAGGAATTTTTTTCCTTAGGATATATCTAGATAATATTAGTTTGGGTTAAAAATATCTTTGTTACTTAATTTCATAGTTACTAATAAAGGAATGTGGTTGGATCTTTATTTGTGTTTTGGGTGAACTCCCAAAATAAAACTCCAAACGAACTCAGAATTTTCATCCAGAACAAATCAAACTAAGAATACATTTAAAACAAGAATCCAGCAATTAACTTAGATTTTTTCACGTTACTTAATGATATTTAAAAATATATATAAAATTATATTTCTATAGTAACAAGAGCAGTTTACTTGAGAGCAACTAAATGGTATCCCTCTCTTTTTCTGCAGAATTGCAATATGAATTTGTGTTTTGTTAGGCAACTGGGATGGGAGAAATAGACAAAAAAACTGCACTTGAAAAATAACTAAATAAAATTAATAAAAAAACCGCAAACTTGTTAAAGCAATTCCTTTTACACTGAATTTTTAACCATTTCACTGATATTTTAAACCACTGAGTAGAAATTTCAGACAAGTCTTTCTGACTGATAAGAAAGCCAAGAAATTTTTGATAAGTATTCTCAAGAACAAAAACTTGCAAAAACAATGGTACTGGTCAAGAATAATAAACACTGTATGACCTTTTCCTCTCCTCACTTAGTTCTATTTTATAACATGATAAAAATTTCTTTTTCGATGCTAAATGAATTTCAAAGGAAGTCATGTAATTAAAGTTTTACAATTATATGATTGTAACACATTCCATTTAAATAGACAGTATGGATTTTTGTGCCTTACCCCCAGTGGGAGTGCTCAGTTCAAAGGTTCTAAGTCTAAGGTTGTGTGTGCTAGATAGAGTTTTTCAGTCTGGAAGCCAGGTCTCCTTCCTCATTCCCTGCTCAGCCATTTATCTACAGCAGCACTGTGACATCGAGTCTCCAAGTATGTAGCTGATATAAATTAAGCAATCTAGAAGTGATAATGCTTGACAACCAAATGCATAAAGTAGTAAACAATTGACAATCAAAATAAGGAACAGCTGTTAGTTTCTTTTTATATAAAATTATATCTAATTTACAATAAATGCCAATTAAAATTATTAACCAATATACATAAATCTCCTCTGCCTTATTGTCAAAAAGCTATGTAGACTCTGAAATTCTCTTAAAATTTTAAAGAGATTCCTAAAGGGTTTTTTTTTCTCTTTATCACAAATCAGTAAATCTTTGAGCATACTGGTCCCTCTGACTCAGGAAAAAACAACCATGTTATCAAAGTGAAAACAAAGGATACTAATAGGACAGTGAATAATTTAACACAAGGCATTGCTGAGCTAATGGTTATTCCTATTAAATCTAATCATGATGAAAACTCAACTGAACTTGATCTTACCATCATCAATAACCACTTAGATTAGCACGTTAAAAGCTTTAATATGCAGAGATATGGCAAAATGTACTTTTAAAAGCAGTGACTTTTCATTTTGGTTATTGAGAGGAAAGGATTAAGTAGTGGATGAATAACTGTCAACTGAAACCTAGAAATGTCACTATTACTAATGTATTATAATGACTTTCTGTATATTTCTCTCACACCAAGAGCACAAACCCTATCCGTTACTTCTTTATTACCACTTGCCTTCATCTTTGAAATTACTTCAAGTGGTAAGACGTTCATTGTTTTAAGAGGTGATTTGTGATGGTCTGAGATATCAAACCACATTTCATACACTGCTATATATATATATATATATATATATATATATATACACACATATATATCAGCTCTTTGGGTTTTCTATTTAGTAAGTTAGAAAAGTTAGTAAAACTTTATTGGCCAACAGTGCTCAGCCATTTAATCAAGTAATTAATTCATTATTCATTGTATTCAGTATTAGAAGAATACATTACTTCTTGAATTATAGATAAAGGGCATATCTTTTTTATTTAAAATTATATAATTTCTTTGAAATAGTTTCTGTTTTTTTACATAAACATTATTAAAAATTTATGACTACAAAATTAAATTTTCCTTTACTCAGCAAACAAACATTTACTGAGTATCTGCCATTTACTGAGTATCCTTCATGTTTCAAGCTAGGAATCCAAACTGGGTAAGATGCAATTTGCCCCCCGAGGGCTGAGGGGCAGGAGAGAGCTCTGTGCCCAGACACTGCAATTATACTGCAATGAGATAAGTAGTGTAGGTACAAGCAGCCACTAGAGAAGAGAAGTTCATAATTCCTTCTGGAAGAGACAGGAAAGGGTTTCCTCAATGGCTGAAGTGAATTCTGAGGGAGGACAAAAAAGGGCTCAGTGGCATGGAGCAGGAGTGCTAGGAATGCACATGTAAAGCCCAGTAGCCTCAGCATTGTTTGGAAAGGGGAAGCACAATGCAGCTGTTATGAGCCAGGACTCTGCAGACAGACTGCCTGGGCTGCAGCTTGGCCAAGTCCTTAACCTCTCTGAGCCTCAGTCCCACCATCTGTAGAAGGGCATATGAATATGTATTTTAAAATACTTCTAATTTTACTTTTTAAAATACTTTTAATTTTAAAATTAAAAGACTGCTATGAGAAAAGTGAGTTACTTTTTGTAAAGCACCTAGTCAGAACTATTTCAATGTTCGCCATTATTAGAGTTGGAGCACAGGCTTCTTGATGGCAGTGGCAGAAGGTAAAGAAGGCTTAAGACTAGAGAGCAGGTTGGGACAGAGAAACAAGGCTCATGGTTAATTGTGAAAGAGCTGGGAAGCCACTGCTGGATTTTAGGCTGTTGAATGATGGGCTACAAGTAGCTTAAGGATTTAATGTGAGAAGGAGTAATCGGTCATGGACAGAGTGGAGTGAGATGCAATCTGAAGCAGGGAGATGAACTAGGGGATCTGGGGGGTTGGTATGAGCCTGGCCTAGGGGAGTGGGATAAGAATGGAGTGAAAGGGGTAGATTTAGGAAATGCCTTGATGGCAGAGCTAGACATGTGGGGAAGTAATTCTTTCACAACTACACAGAAATTGTGAAAATTATATACTCATGACTACAAGATACAGTCAGCAAAAGATAATATTTATTAGCATGAGGGTGGAACAACTGTTTTCCTTTCTGTTTCCTTTGACCGTTTTTGAAGTAGAAGATTCTCATGCCTATGGCAGATGTCCTGAAGTAGAAGGATGAATTTGCTAAGCTCATATGATTTTTTTAGTTCAGTGACGCTATAACCTATATGTGCCCAACTTTTTTGCTTACATGACTGAGTATGTTCTCTGTTCCTAGAGGGCCATTAAACTTTGCAGACTGTCAGGGAATTGACAATGACAGCATAATTGAGCAACCAAGCACTTCTGATTTTTAATATAGGATTCTAAAGCATTCCAGCTGTTAAGCAGTACTAAGAGGCCACTTCCATCGAAGCTGAGAAACTCACTCCCCCCACTCCACGTTGTCTTTACTACTCCCAATAACTTTCAAGACCATTACTGGCTGTTCCCATAAGAGTAAGCAAACATATGCAGCAAGGTACTGGATAAAGTATCATAACATATATACCATTTTTCTTATATTATCTTTTTCTTGGTATTTGTAAAAACCCAGGTCTTAGTCTCCACCATTCTTTCTAACCATGGTGTTTGCCAGAGACTTGAATCCAAGAAAGAGTGGTCTGGTTTGCATCTGGTTCTGTAATGTTGAGGCAACAAGCCACAGAGTATTTTTTGAGGGGGAAAATGAACATTTCATTTCAATATTCAGCAAAATAGCAAGTTGTTTACTCATTAACTTGACTCTCACTAATTTAAAAAAAGAGACAAAATAGGAAGCGGTGCCATTGATTCTGTTTATTACTTCAGTGTATATTCTAATACTCTTTATTACTCACTGAATTAGGGAAGAGCTAACATCAAAAGTGAGAAACATTATCCCTACATGGATATATTTATAAAAATATTTTTATATGTCAATTTTCTTTATCTTCTTTCTTATAATTAGCAGGCTATTATATTTGACCCTAGAAAAATATTTTAATTAGACTATCCAGGGACAGTTCAATAAACTTGATTTTTTTGACATTTCAAACATAACCTGGTGTCATTCATGCCTGCCTCCTACTAGTTGAAAAGTGGAGCATGTTCCAGCTTTCAGGAATTACCATGGTTACTTGTTATGCCAATTGTGAACTGCAGTTAGCATTAAGAAATACTGTGTGCTGCTCTGCCTCTGTGTTGGAAGTGCCATCAATACCTCATATCGATAATGTGAATTAATATGGAATTCTGGAGGAATATGACAGTGAGACAACCGCTCAAGGTGGAAAATGTTCTTAAAAGCTGAAAACCATGTAAGTGTTTTTTTGGATCCACACTATATTAGATTCTCTAAGAGCTTATTTTAACTGAATATGGTTTTAGTTTATTAAAATTATTGTTGAATGGTTATAATCCCACCCTTCATTTTATTTTTATATTCTCTGTTAGAAATATATAGGAGTTTGGTACTTTTTTGGGTAGGAAGTGAGTCACCTTTAATGTGAAATGATTAACCGAGACCCAATGGCAAGGCTGGCTAAAGGCACTCATGGGTCTTGGGGCCATTTTTCCATACCTCTCACAGATCTCTCAACTTTACTTGGTTCAAAAGATGTATTTCTGGAAAATCTCCCAGTAAAAGACCCCCGAACCCTGATATATGCAGCAGCACAGTTATCGCTACTCACCTGCACTGGTGCCTGCACCGGATGTGAGGTCTCCACCCATCAGACCACCTACAGATTAAAGAGGAAAATCAGAAGGAGGAAGGCTAAAGGTCCACAGAACAATGCACTTCACCCTTAGCAACCTTGGTATTTTGTCCTCTCTCAAGAGTCCTACATTTTTAAACTATTACCTAAGTCAGATGGCTGACATTTGTTTTATTGTGACATGCTGCGCTCAATCACTGACATTTTGCAGAATCTTTATTCTAAGAAAAATTACTTTAAAGAAAATTCAGTCTTGAAATGGTCTCTGAATTTTATCTTATTTTCAAATCTAGTTTTTCCTAAGGGGATATTCAATTGAAAGTAAAAATAAAAAACTAAGGTTTACTACATATTCAGATAACCATACATTTGATGTTTAATTCTTTATAAACATTTTATACATTTACTTTTGTGCAGTGTTAATTGTCCAGGATTTTAGTCAGTTCAGAAATTCACCTACAGTGAACAACCTCATTTATTACCTGACTTTTACTCATTCGTACAATAAAATAGGTCTCACTAGCCACAAATTTAGAAACTTAGGCTTATTCATTGCTAACTTAAGAAACTAAGTTGAAATTTGTCAAGATTTATATGTGAGCATTGGAGTATTTCAATAATATATTAAATATAATAATTACTGTTAGTTGTTAAGGAATAAGATTTAGCAAAAAAAAAAAAAAAAGACGAGATAAACAGCTGATTATTTCCTAATCGCTTCTAAGAGATACTCTATAATTATTGGTAGGTTATAATTTGGAATTAGAAGGAAATGTTTATTATTTGCGAATGAATAATATTTTGGAAATAAAGCATAAGATTGTTTAAAATAAATGAGGCTAAGTTCATCTGATAGGAAATTCAACTGCATTTGAGTATTATCTGAGAGGAGTACATGATTATTAAAAATTCCTATGAAAAAATTTAATCATATTTCTAAGTAGAGAGAATGGCCTAATGAAGTCCTTTATCCACCTCTTTCAGACTGAAGATTTATCAAGATTTTTTTTTATCTGGCTGATTTTGATTTTATTTTCAATATAGAATGTTTGTACTAAATAGAAATATGTTTAGTTTTAATCATGAGGAAGATATTTAAGTAATCTAAAAAATTTCTTTTGTGAATAAATCACTTTTAATACAGTTATGTATGCCTAAGATATTAACATTTTCCTATGAAATGCTTTTAAGAGAACAAAATATAAATATATAGTGGTTTGCTGGACATGATTTATAAATGCAATTATTTATGTGGTCCTTCTTTTGAAAATATGCAGGGCATATACACACACACTTAGTTTCCACTGTGAGTCAGGGAAATCAAGAGGATATTCCTCCCTTCAAGTCTCTTTAAACCCAGTGGGGAAACAGATGCACACTCAACACAGACCTAATATGTTTTCCTGGATCTGTGAACCGAGAATGGTCGAAATTTCCCTGGACGATAATTTCTTCTCTATGGGACACTGTGGACTGTACCACAGCAAGGATCTCCTAGACGTGTGGAGATCTAGGAGGTATATAGATCCTTATGGCAGGTGGATATGCCCTTATGGCGTGCTCTTCACTTATTTCTGACTTAGTTTTGTTTTTATTTCACAATTTTTATAAATTATGCTGTCCTGTCACATTTCCTTGCTGCCTTAAATCCTTTGTGGTATAAGTTACTGTATAAATAAGTAGAAGTTGACCATGGAGTATATTGTAAGAGGACACAAGGGAAGGTTTCACAAAAGAAGTTATGTTCGGGGGCAGGATTGAGGGTGGGAGGTGGGGGTAGGTGGGGGAGGGGAAAGTGGTGGTGGGGAAATGAGACAACCGCATTCGAACATCAATACAAAGATAAAAAAGAAGAAGATACTATGTCTGGCAAGCAGGAAAAGTGGATTTTAGCAGGACAATGGCAGAAGCAAAAACACAGAGACAGGGTAACTGACATTCTGTTTGACAAAATTATGTGGTTAAAATAGAGCCACAAGAGGAGATTGGTGACAGATCTGAATAGATGCATTACAGATTATACGAGGTTTTGAAAGATATGCTGATGGAGTTAGGGGTTATCATGTGGCAGATCCAGCAGTGAAGGAACAAACTCAACATGTTGTAGTTAACGTGGCCTTTTGACAAGGGTGGCTCCTTCCGATGATTTGTTCCCATTGCATTCTTAGGGAGACGTACCTGTGTTACCTGCACTTGGAGGTCGATGTGTTACACCAGGAGACATACTATTCCTCTGCAGAGAAGGGTGGGCCAGTGGCAAAAGGTTGGGGTTTCCCAGTGAGCTGACGGGGTTGCTGTATACCAAACTGTTATGGCTGGACACCGGGATGGAGACTGGCATCTCAAAGTTGGGAGGTGGAACAGCCTACAGAGGGGGGAAAAACGGGTTAACAAAAAAGAGACTAGAAACAGAAGCTCTCAGGTACCGACAGCCTTCACTTTAAAAAAAAATGTCAAATTCCAAACTTCTTGGTGGCTAGAAGACCATTAAGAAGAGCTCTCAAGATGCTCACATCATAAATTGATTTCTTTAATGTGCTTAGAACTCCTTCTATGCAACTATTAGAAAACGTTTCACTTTTGTCTAAAACAAAGCCCCATTTCATTAGACTCCATTGTCTTTGAATTCCATTCTATTAAGTAATAATTGTTCATCTGTGATATCTGAATCTGGTGCCAGAAATGACTGCAAAATCAAAGGTACATGATTGGGATGACTTCACAGAGAAAAAGGAGGATTAAAATGCAAACCAGAGCTTTCGGTTTAATTGCTTATTGAAGCATATTTATGCAAAAGTTTAATGATATAAAATCATCCCAGGATTGTGAATAGCACATATACTTTAATTATTATTTTTTAAAGTCTGTCTTTTGAAAGTAACTCTGAAGATAATAGACATTTTAACATACAAGATCCAACAGAGCTTATGTCATTTAATAATTCATATTTTAAAATGATAGTTCAGATATATGCTGCACTTCACATTTTTGATATAGTAACACTGACAAATGGCAAGCCCTGCATTTCAAATGAGAGAGTTGGCACATATTTAGTGAGCTGAAGCTGTGTGGCTATCTAATTAATCAGTTCCCAATTATTGATTTTTTTATATTATTTTGGCAATATAAGCAAAGTCATGCTTACTTTTCTGCTTGTACTAACTAGATACTCATAGTTGCAACCCTCTTTTTAATATTATAAAGGAAAATACTGTGCGAATATATTGCCAGAGGGCTCATGGTGTCAGACCACAACAGCATTCTTAATATAAAATGGATGCGTGTATGTGTGGATCTAATACGTATATTGGGGATGAGTGTAAATAGAACATTCTCCCTCAGGTGTTCTTAAAAAAGCCAGGGGCAAATTTAAGTGCATAGATGCGTGTGGTTCAAAGACTTCTGTTCTTTTTATTGAACTATTTTGTTCTATAATCCTAACATCGGTTTTCTGTTACTGGTTGATTGGCTGGCCTGCAGCGCTCACCATGTTCTGCAGTAGTTCCGTGTTCGCCCCGGTGATGATTACGACACTCTTCTCTACATACGCTATACTCCTTCTACTCCTTATTCCTTATTTTTCCTACTTCTGTTCCTTCCCATGGTCAGGGTGTGTTGGTATTAACAAAAGTACATGTTTCAGAACTCTTTTCTTTTACATCTTGGATTTTTCATTGTTTTAGAGGAAAATAAAATAAATGCCCAAGTGCTATATTAACACAGTTGTTCTTTTTAAAAAAAAATTATTGACTGATTTTGGAGAGAGAACAGAAAGGAGAGAGAGGAACATCAATTTGTTGTCCGCTTATTTATGCATTCATTGCTTACTTCCTTTTTTAAAAAAATTATTTATTTTTTAGAGAGGGGAAGGGAGGGAGAAAGAAAGGGAGAGAAACATCAACGTGTGGTTGCCTCTCACATGGCCCCCACTGGGGCTCTGGCCTGCAACCCAGGCATGTGCCCTGACTGGGAATCAAACCTGCAACCCTCTGGTTTGCAGGCCTGTGCTCAGTCACTGAGCTACACCAGCCAGGCCACAGTTGTTCTTTATTAGGATTTATCTCTGGTAAATAGGGTATAAAAATAATTTTATACAGATACCATGATATAATGGAATATAAATGATAAGATAGCAAAGACTGAATATATCCCAAAATTTCCAGAAACCTTTTAAACAACAAAAAATATTAGTATATGCTATAAGATAAATGTCTGTAGAGTAAATAAAATATTGTATTCCTTTATTAAAAGATCATATCATAAGAATCACTGTAGTATACCTGAGAAAACACAGTCAAGTAACTGTGCTACGGCTTCTCCATCTGCCCCTCCAGAGTCACTGTGCACCCTGCTGCCTGCTCTGGGCCCAGCAGCTGGCCCTCCAGACTCCCTCTACCCTGTTCACCTTGCCCTCTGGTTTCAGCTTGGCCGGTGGAGGTACTGGCAGAAGTACAGAGCATGGGAAGAGGGAGTCAGGGTGTTTTCCTACAGTCACATCCCTTTGCTGGCCCAGGGGTTGGTAGAGGTTGCTGTCTCCTGATTACTTTTCTTAGCTCGTTTCCCTTCTATTATAAAATCAGTTGTGATGTTGGCCAAATAACGTCTCATTTTATCCAGGTGCTAAAGTTTTTTTGCTCTAAGGTAACGCAGAACCTAGTCTACTTCTCATTATGTGAATTGAATATTTTTCTTCGAAACAGAATTTTTAGGGAGACACTGTGCTAATACAAAAGTATAAGCTTAAAATTTACTGTATGTTATTTATTGAACAGGCACTGTACTGTATAATTTATATACATGATATGATACACCCCATTCAACATTCTTTCACTGCAGATATAATTCTTCCCTTTTAAAATTAGTGAGATTAAGTAAGGGGCTCAGTGTCATTTGACTAGTAAGTGGCTGAGCCTATTGTTTTTGCTACTGAATCACCTTGCAACACAGTATGAGTTTTGGGGTAGAAAGAGAATTTGCCAACAGAATCATACCATGAAGTGAGTAAGAGCGGATGCTAGTAGCTTATTATTTGTGGCCCACAAACATAATGAACTGAATGGTGCTATGGATGTGGGTGAGCATCCGAGTTAGAATGCAGTCTGTGCTCACTAATGGCCCTTCTGAGACTGAGGTCTCGGGGAAAAATAAACCTTCAAGTCTCCCCGCTTCTACAGTTACTCCAATTTAGCACTGTAAAGCTATCACTTGTTTACACATTTTTAAATTTATATTTATTCACTATTACTACTCATACAAGCCTAACTACTACTGGATACCTAAAGATCAGCTATAAAACTACTTGAATATTCTACAGCATGTTGACTGTATCTCAGTAGAGAGCAAAGCCTCTTTCCTTCCCTCTCCTGGGTGATTACATGCACATTGAAAATAAAGAGGATTATTAATAATTCTTTAATAAATTCTGAACCACCCTAATAACCAATTCATTGAATGTCTCTCTCTGTTTTTCCCTTCCTCAACCACAATCCCCAAGAATTACTCAGCTTCTGGCATTATGGATAGTAAACACTTTGACAATGATGACTATAAAAACTCTCTGTGATGGACTACACAGCAGTCAGGTATAATTCTGATATCACAGTATTCTTAAAATTGGCAAGTCATAAAATATGCTAACAGCCTTTGCATTTTCTCTGCCTTTTTCTTGGTTTCCTTATCTGCATCTGGAATTGCCTAGATAATTTTGAAATCAAATTATAAGCATAAAAATGACCACATGGAGAAGATATCTCAGAGAATCAGAAAGAACATCAGCCTTAATATCAGAAATCTCACAGGAGTCCAGCCTGTGTAATAAATTGCTGTTTAACCAGGCAAATCATTTAACCTCACTGGACCTGCTCTCAGACATGAAGTGATTGCATCCATAGAGAGACCAACTGGATCTAAAAGTTTTAGGCAAAACAAAGGCTTCAATAATGCATAAATATTTATAAGAGGTTGGTGTTATTCTTTTCCTTCTTGACTTTTCAAAACTAGAGAACTTAAAAGAATTAAAAATTTTAAAAAATTGTTTAAAAAGTGAAAGCCAAAAAGTAGTTAAAGACTCCAAACTTGCAAAGATGTCAGGGCCAGACTCCAAATTTCAGAGCACTCACAACAGAAAGAAAGAGGGAACTGGGGTGATCAAGTGAAAGGCTATAGGCAAGACGGGCTGTATCATTTGCAGGTTCCAGGGCAAATCGAAAATGTGGGTACCCTTGTTAAGAATTTCAGATGGTGGAGGCATTTAACCGTGTGGCTCTGTAAGAGCAGTGCCCTGTGTGACTGCACAGGGCAGACGTCAGTGACATGGGCCTGGCTGTAAGAGATACGGCCACAGCAGCTAAAAGCCTTTCAGTTTCTGTCCTGAATAAACTGATCATGGTTACCGAAGCAAGTCACTGTGGTCAGAAAGGTATCTGAACTCTTATCCAAAAGCCACTATTTTCCCAAACTTACCACAAGCAAAAGTCCAATAAAAAGTCAAATAAAATATTTTTAATAAAATATTTTTAGCTAATAAGCTCTCTTTTATTCAGTGCGAATGATTGAACTGAATCCTTTTTGGGGGGGGCACTAATGACACCCTTAGCTTTTGATCAACTGTTACTGGTCTGCTGAAAACCAGCAGCGAAAAAAGAAATCACACAGCTGTATTGACTAGTGACCACCAATTGCTGGTGTCCAAATTTCCTCAAGGCTCCCTGTAGTCTAGTAGACACTTCTCATTGCCTCTCTATCTGCAATACCTCAGGCCTCTTTCAAGCACCTGCTCCCCAGCCTCAATGTCTATAGAAACTACATTCAACATAAAAAAATATAGGTGGTCACCCACTCAGCGTCACTCTGTCCACCAACCACCCCTTAACTGCACTTGGGTCCATCTGCAGCTCTGTCTTGTTCCAATTCCATCCTCCTCCCTTCCTTGAGTGTTGCCATTTTATCTCCATTGTATCTATGTGTTCAATCTTTTCCTTCCTTCAATCGTTCTTTCTCTGCATATAAATAATCTCAAGTGCTTTTTGCCTTTAACCCCTTCTTAGTCCTAGTTAGAGTACGATTTCTCTCTCTTCACAGTCCCTTATTTGAAGAGAATAGAAACTATTTCCACTTCCTCCCCATTTGCTCCCCACCAGCCTTGCATCCCCTCCTCCTCCCTTCGGCCCATTTCCTAACTCCTGGTTCCTCAAATGAAGCTGTTTCCTCTTGCTGTGCAGCCCGGCATGAACTGTGGTGATGAACACCGCATGAGAAAACGCTGGCCAACAGGATTCCAAGCCATCCATGAATTATTTCATGTCATTGAGGAATATGGGCATAAATTACGTTTGTACCAACAGGTGACTGCAATATTAAATTTTCTGTTTTAAAAGAAAAACTCTTCGAACTAGGTCTTTGAAATAGGAAAACAGTCTTGTAATGTTTTTAAAGAGGTGGAGACACCCTCTCCACACAAAGGGCAGAGTGTCCTTGCCCTGCTGCAAATGTTTTAGCAGCTGTGGAAACTTTCAACAAAATTTACTTCCAGCAACTGAAAGCAATGTGCGAAAACTGGGCTTTTCATCCTGGAGACCGAAGCACTTACGAAAGAAATGGAGACTTGGAGGCGCAGCTAGGAGCTGTGCGGCTCCTTCTTGCAGCCCTGCCTCCAAACTCTGATGTGGTTTTTCATCCCCCACCGCACACCACTGCACCTCTTAAGAAATCGTGTATCCTGATTTTGAACTCTTTACGTGACAGGATGAAATACTGTGAGGGAATCTGGGCATGTGCTATGCCTCTTTCCCCGTAAAGCACAGGAAAAATGATCTGATGTACAAGTTTGGGCTTTCTCCCAGAACCCCTGGGGTTAAAGCTACACGGGTATTTAGCATCGCTGCCTTGGAGGGTGATCAGCAGTATTATATATACAGCCCCCTTCCCAACTGTGCCGGGGATTTCTCCTGTCTGAGACACCTCATAGGCTTCACCTTAAAAATCTGACATTCGCAAACCTTTGAGGCCAGCAGCTCCAAACCAGTATTGACTAGCAAGAGAAACTCAGGCCATAAGAATAAAAAATTGGCCCAAAGGAGCTGTTTCTTTCCTTCTTCTGGGCAAGGTAAAATCCCGATGGAGATTTTATCATTTAAGAATTCTGGGTATAACAAGCATCCACTGCAGCATCTGATGGGAAATATTTCATTTGATAAAGTACCCGCTGTGGTTGTTCTGTATGTCGTACTCGGTTTACGAAACCTTTAAGAATTTACAGCATTTAGCCTTCCTTCAGGATATAGGGCAATAATAATTCTGATTCAACAAAAGCTCCACTGCTGATAATATTTCACCTAACAGAAGAAGGCCTGTATTTATGAAGATAGAAAGTCTAAGAGCCACGCATTTTCTGAATGTTTTAACGTATTTAAGTCAACACAGGTGACTGTGCACCTACTACGTGTAAGACAGTGATTGACCTTGTGAGTGCACTTGTGGATTTTTGTCCCCAAATACACTGCACCTGCAATCTCAGAGGCACATCTTCACTGCAGTCTCTCTCGGTGCTCAGGTGGAGGATGTTGGGTTAAGTTACCAAAAATGTCCTTTTTTTGAGAAAGGAATTCATTACCAACTGAGGAGCCTGTGTACGAGGAGGGTGCAGACACCGGCACCGGGTATTCGGAAGGCACGTGAGCCTTGGGCTGCATCAAAGTCTGCCCCACAATTAACATTGGTCGACTGGCGGCAGAATATAATTAAAGGGACGTCCTTCTCCCCTCTTTATATGGGCAAACAAAATAATACATGCAGAGTTATTTCTCTCAAATATCTGGCAAGGCGTGTGATTGACTGTTAGAAATTCTTTGACTTGGTTAAGACACGATTTAGCCGATTGTTAAAGCATGGAAATTGTTGGTGTAGGCAAAGCGGGTATCTTGACGAAGCTTTAAAATCACCCCAGCACACAAACATGTTGAAGTCTTACCATTAGGTTCTCATGCAGTCTGTTTCCTTGCAGCGAGCATTAGCTTTAACCCTTCAGTGCTGCTGCTGAATTTCATGTGTCGGGAGAGGGACCGAAGCTTTATTCCGAAATAAGATTTTATTTGGGTGATGATCCTCAGTTTACAGGAGAGGACTATAGTTCCACTTGTGTAACTGGTCTCAGTGATATATATGAATATATATATGTACTTTATAGTAAGCCTTTAAACTCGCTGAGGAGATTCTAGTGCTTACCTAGTGCACTGTGATTTGGGTGCACTGTGTGTTTAAGAGATTGTGTAAAGTCAGGGTGTGCCACATAAATCTTTCTTTCTCTTCCTCCTGTGAATTTTCTACTTTTGAATGAACTCGATGGCAACTCGTTTAGATTACATAATTCGAGCGCAAATTAAGGGTTTGCTTTCTAAATGAACTGCCGTGGGATGAGATGGCTATTTTACTGCTTTGACTTTCCGGTGCTTCTTAGACCAAGCCATCACTGAAAGGGTTAAGGTGTGTTACTGCAGCAGTTATCAGCAGACCAGCCATCTACCTTTGGTACTTACAGGAATTTTATGACTCTTGATCATATTATCAAATTCTTCATTAATTTTTTTGTATTTTTCTTCAGTGCGTGGGGTGAGTGCATAAGAGGAGTCGGGATCGGGGCTTTCACAGCCTTTGTTTTCTTTCTTGTTCAAGGCCTGCCAGGTTCAGAGAAATATCAAGAGTAAAAAAAAAATGAAGGGCGTTTTGAGTACTTACACACAATCTTTGCCTGCTGATCATTAGATCAATATCTTCGTTAATTTTCCTGTACTTGTCCTCAGACTCAGGGCTGTGACCTACTGAATCGTCTGCATCGGGATCTGGGCTGTCACAGCCATTAAGGCCCTTCTTTCTCAACGTCTGAAACACATAATTCGGAAAGTTCAATCCCAGACAAAGGCTGTAAGAGACATTCAGGGCTGTTAACAGAAGTTTAAGCGGTCCGGTGTCCAAGGTTGTCATCACATGTCCTGCATTACATTAGGGTAAAGAAACCACAGAAAGAAACAGAGTCACTTCAGTAACACAGTCATTATTAGTTAAAGAAATAAAGGAACTTTTCCTTTTGCAATTATATTCCGTCAGTGGACAAAGACAGTAGGAGGGCTGAAGTTTCATGATATGGAATTCATACATGCTCCACACCATCGAGGTCAGTGCGCCCAACTCATTTTCACCAGGGGGCCACGTCAGCCCTGCAAAGGTCTGGAATAATTTTAGGACTGTATAAATGTAACTATTCCTTAACTGTTGAGGAGTTGAAATTACATTCGGCCCTGGGAAGGCAACCTCGAGGCTGATGTGGCCCCCAGTGAAAATGAGGTTGACACCCCTGATCTAGTGAGAGACAATCACAGAAGAACACAAGGAAGGTGGGAAATTACAACACTCCATTTTCCCACAGAAGAATTAGAAGCCAGGACGTTACACAACAATTTCGGAATCTGTGATCATGACAAAAGGAGAAATGCTGGAGACAGACCCTTAGTTCAACGTAATGCTTGGCACTGACAGCGTCCCGCCACCCCTTCGGGTGCGCACACTTGACAGGAAAGGCAGCAAGATAACCAATCTAATATTCTCAGAAAGCACCTGTTAGGAATGTTCAGACACCATGATCGTAAGGAAAAATCACCTTTGTTTTGTCTGGTTAGAATTCTGTATGTGTGAAAATGTGTACTGAAATTGATAATGCTGAGAAGTTTTCTGCCTAAACACAAACTGAAAGAAAAGTCAAAACTGCTGAATTTAGGGCTTCATTAACAGGAGCTGAGTAAGGAAGCCAGAGAGTACTGAAAGTCGGTAACCAAGTCAGTCACTTCCAAGCTGGCAAAAGTTCCCCCGGGTCCCAGCCGAGCAGGATCATCCTGAGACTGTCTCCTGACACATGGAAGTGGCAAGTCAGTGCCTTATCTTACACCTCCTGTCTCCTGAATGTGGGTCTGGTCTAGTCTCAGCTGTCACAGGAGGATAAATACGAATGTAACATTGCAACAAAAAATATGAGTCAGGAGTCCTGAGATTTCTTTTCTTTTTTTTTTTTTTTTACTGATGGTTGTCAACTTAATTGTACATGATCTGATTTACAGAGATAATGTTATGTTTTTAGAGATCATAAAACTTCTGATTAATCACACAGATTGCCATGTTAATTATTAATAGACAAGCAACATTTCTGAATTTTCCTGGTGCTACCTAAATTATTACAAAGAGCTGTGTACCTAAGTGTCTCTCATTAATGGAAAGTTCAGCAGAGCTCATCTTTATTAAAGACAGAATTCACATACAAATAAAGCTAAAACTGTGACATCAAGCTAAGGAATTCAAAGCTGAGATAACACTCCATCTTTAATTCATGCGATTGGAGAAAATAAATAAAACAACATGAGTTTAAAAGGGGTGTCAGTCTTAAAAATTTAAACTCCCTGGCTCTTATCAATGTGTAACAAATGTAACATTGTTTAAAATTAGATTCTGAGGCAGCAAAGATTTTCACTTAATATCAGACTAAGGGAACTACCATTTCTAATGCATTTCTGATACACTGTGGCTCTGTAAATATTTATTAATGTTATAGTGGAAAAATATAACAAATAAACATATGGTTACAGCTTATTATGTGGTAAAATGTTTGAATATTAAAATGAATATTTTGACACAAGATGATAAAATATACATTTACAATCTTGGGGAATTTATAATTGGTGGGGCCCCCTGCCCCCCCGTTGTGAATCCACAGTCATCATTTCCACCCGGAGTAAGTACTCCAAGAGGGCTCCATAATACTTAGAATAATAACTTTCTTTGCTAACTTAATTCCTTTCATTTTAAATTCTTTGCTAGCACTATCTCAACCACAAAGAGCATGCTTCTGGGTGAAAACTACTTGCTGTATTATCATGTGTCTTTGCTTTGATCTCCAGATACCCCTGGGCTTCCAACAATAATTCCTGAAGGTCTTGCATGGTACGCCACAGACTTTTCATAAAAATTCACTTATGCAGAGAAAAATACGTAAGATGAAAAAAATCTTCTATTTTTCAAACTGTACCTATCTTCCTATAAGGCATGTTAAGGATATTCTTACATAAACCTTCCATTTAAAGTCTTATCCAGACAGATTTTTCAGGGTGCACCCGAGTCTCTTATCCAGTAAATCTGATCATGAAAACCACGGCTGTTTTGATGCGCAGATTTTTGACAGCAGAATGCCAGGGTTAGGAGGAGCCTGGCGACTGTCGCGGCGGTCCATCTGGCACGTGCATGTGTGCTGCACGCTCCTCGAAGCTCTGGGGGTAGACACTGTGTTTGGCTTATAAAAATTCAAGCACCCATTACATGTCATTGAAAGATCTCCACAGACATTAACTCTTATGCCTCACAAGTCTTCCTCCCATAAGGGTTTCAGGGAAACCTTGGGCCAGGTCTCGGGCCAGCGCGGCCACTCACGGTGGCCCAGGCCTCCTGCTCTTTCCCTGGCCAGGCTTTGCCACACGGGTGACGTGAGGGATACAGAACAGAGCTCCCTCATTCCTACGCACCCACAGCAGGAGACTAAGCACTGAAATAAACAGGCAGACATTTCTACAAACTAGGCTGTGGAAAAATTTTTAGTATGAAACTAGGGCTAAAATATTGATATTTCTTAGATGTCAAAGTTTAGAGAGAGGGAATGCTCATGAGTCAATGAAACACATCAGTTTACCAATTATAAAAACGAATTTGATCAACAGCTCACTTGGTACCTGAAGAATTATGCAAACTATTAGGCGAACAAAGCAGGTGGTTCCGAGTCACAAAGAAAAAGGTAGTGATGAGATGAGGGGGGGAAGAGGCTCATTTTCTTCCAATAAATTCTTCTTGTACCAGAACACATTATCTTATAATGAGTATCATCAGTACTTAAGTAATGAAATACCTCTACCATTTAAATTATAGCCTTATTTAAAGTTAAATCATGTTATTTTAAAAAGGAGAATTTTTAAATTATACAAACACAAACTCCAAAAGCATATTAACACAGAGTTCCAAAATTCCCGTAATCAGAATATTGAAAAACTTGTTAAAAAATACTCAGCCGAGAGCTTGCAGAACACATTTCTGCCAAGAACAAATGACTACAGTGGGATTACAAAGCTCTGAAAATGAAAGTGATGGAGAATACCACAGTGTGCAGGTAGAACTGCAAGGGCCATCTTGTTTTTATTATATTAAAAATCTACAGCTGTTTCATAATGACAAAAGAATTCCTGTTGGATTCACCCAAGTCTGTCTTGATCACAGTAATAAACAGTTGGTATAAACTAAAGGATTACTAAATGGATAAATAAGCATTATTCCTTCATGCCCCTTTCTAGTAAAATGAAAATCTCTGCCGCTGGCCTCTGAAAGCTTCTTTGATCTTTTACAAATGTTATCGGTAGGATAATGTAGGCACTTATATCATTACTCTTTTACAGGGGCTAGAAGTCCTGGATTTATACGTGTCTCTCAGCCGCCTATATTTTGAAAAGATTTATTCTATATGTCAAGGTAAGGCGAGAGATCTACCCAAACCACCAGCTTCTCTAACTATGTACCCGCTGAAACTCACTTCTCAGGGAACTCTTGGAATCCTGAGTCTGTACACCGACCGAAGCCAGCTTTCCCTGTGGCACCGACACTGTCAGGTAGATCAATGGACTGCAAGGCTTCTGGGATGTTTTCGAAAGGCAGCAATTGTCATGCAGTGAGCTAACAGCCGTTTTTTCGAGAAGTAATTAGATTGACAGAAGGTGACATACTCCAAACAATAAAAGGGAAAAGGATTCCAGGCAGGTAATCCAAAAACCACGTGGCTCCCCCCTTCCCAGACATATGGACATATGGACCCTGCGTTATTACATTTGTTCATTGCAAAAACTCGAAATCCATATAAACTGATGATAGGTGACAGGTGCTTCAAAAATTCTAATGAAATAGATGAAGGGAACAGATTCTGTATCTTTACTGAAAGGAATATAAATGAAAAAGAATGACACATGGTGGGCTCATTCCTCATCTTAGGCATTATGTTACCAACTAGAAAACACCTTCAGTATACAGTGGTTAAAACTGAGTGCCCCTTATTAATTATTTCCTGTTAGTAAAAAAGATGCAAGTAGATTATTAGTCTTTTTCAATCAAATGAAGCTATACAATTTGCACTATTTAGGTAAAATCAGCTTCTTCCGGAGAGCTACCATCAGATTTAAAGCTTCCAACAACTCAATTTCTTTCCACATCTGCAGTTTTAGTTCTCAAGGATGTATATTTTCATCACCTGTATTTTTCTGTACTTGCCCACTATACAACAGAAATTTTAAATCCTTCTGTGAAAATCCCCAAAATACACATTAATTGTTTTAAAAGATTTTATTTATTCATTTTTAGACAGAGGGGAAGGGAGGGAGAAAGGAATGGAGAGAAACATCAATGTGTGGTTGCCTCTCACATGCCCCCTATTGGGGATCTGGCCTGCAACCCAGGCATGTGCTCTGACTGGGAATTGAACTGATGACCCTCTGGATCCCAGGCCCTTGCTCAGTCCACTGAGCCACACCAGCCAGGGCTCATTAATTTTTCTTAAAACCCAAATAATCACTTTTCTTGCACAGCTAGCATTATCCTCACTTCAGAGGGCTGATGTGTCAAGAACACATGCAAGAATTATTTCTATTAGTTGCATGATATCTTGTTCACACAAAAGCTGAGGAAAAAAAGACATCAACTTAGAAAAGGTAGTTTTCTTTTCTCTGACACTAAGTCATTTTGTGCTTGTCTTTCACAACTTTAGGAAGATAAGCAATCTACTCTTATACTGAATAACCTTCACAGTAGTA